GGCTGGGGAGGAACGTGCATGTCCCAGGCAGTGGGGGGACAGTGGCCGGCTCACATGTCTCTCCACATAAACGTGCTGGAGTTAATCTCCGTATGGAGAGTAATCCAGCACTTTGCCCCGTTGCTGTTCAATCAACATGTGTTGATTCGGACAGACAACAAAGCAGCGGCGGCGGCATACATAAATTGCCAGGGAGGCGTACGATCAGCGCAGCTGGGCGCAAACACACGTACTCTCTATCAGAGCGGTGTATATTCCCGGCGTGTTGAACAGAGGGGCGGACCTCATGTCCAGAGGAGGTCCTCGCCAAGGGGACTGGAGCCTCCACCCCGAACTGGTCTCCCAGGTATGAAGCAGGTTCGGGAGAGCGGAGGTGGATCTGTTCGCTGCACGCGAGAACGCGCAGTGTGCCCTCTGGGCGTGGACGCGTTCGCACACAGGCCGTGGCCCAAGGTGTTGTTATACGCTTTCCCACCAGTCCCTCTGATCCCTCGGTTCCTGGACCGAGTGCAGGAGGAGAGACTGACAGCGATCTTAATAGCACCGGAATGCACGGGAGCGTCCTGGTTTCCATGCCTACAGCGGATGCTGTCAGGGAGACCGTGGGAAATTCCGTGGCGCAGGGACGCTCTCTCCAGGTGGAGGGAGCGATCAGCGGTCACCCAGTATTGGGCCAACGTTTGTGGGCATGGCCCCTGAACGGGAACATTTAGAGGGGCTGGGCCTCTCTAAAAATGTTATCAGTACCATTCAGGGTTCAAGGGTGGCGTCCACCAGAGCATCCTACACAGCCAAATGGGCAGCGTTCCAGCGCTGGTGTGTAGGGAAAAGCCTGGACCCCGTTACGTGCCCCCTGCCTCACGTGCTGTCGTTCCTCCAGACGTTACTAGACAGGAATTTGGCTTATAGCACGGTCAAAACGTACGCTGCTGCCATTTCATCTTGCCACGTAGGGTTTGGTGTCAGTACGGTGTTTAGTCACCCTCTGACAACACGTTTTCTACGGGGAGTACAGAGACTCAGACCGGTGTCACGCGCTTTGGCGCCTCAATGGGATTTGGCGTTGGTGTTACGCGCACTGAGTAAAGCTCCATTCGAACCTTTAGATCAGGTCCCCCTGAAGTTCTTGTCAGCCAAAGTAGCTCTGCTCTTGGCTCTAACATCAGCTAAAAGGGTGAGTGATTTGTCTGCTCTCTCTGTGGCTCCGTCATGTCTCCAGATCCAAGGAGATGGCAGCTCAGCTGTTTTGCGCCCTAACTCGGCTTTTATGCCAAAGGTTATCACAAGCTCTTTTAGATAACTTTAGTGATAACTTTGGATGGTTTCTTCCCTCCTCCTCACACATCGGAGGAAGAAGCCACATCTCATCTCCTCTGTCCCGTACGTGCGCTGTCATGCTATATTGCACGCACAGCCACGTTGCGTAGGTCCCAGCGCCTGTTTGTGCATCACAGAGAGCACTCAATAGGGCAGCCTCTGTCTGCACAGCGCCTGTCACACTGGTTGTGTGAGGCTGTGTCACAGGCGTATGTCTCCTCTGGGGTGGATCCCCCGGAGAACATCAAAGCGCACAGCATCAGAGGAATTTCAACCTCTACGGCTTTGCACGGAGGAATGACAGTGGAAGACATTTGCACTGCGGCATCTTGGTCTTGCCCCTGTTCTTTTATTTGTTTTTATTTGAGGGATGTCTCCCATTCCTCTCTTACTCATTCAGTACTGAGTGTCCTGTCAGATTGAGTAATGTCGGAGACTAAACGGTGTGCCCTCTCTCCTGCCTGTCGGCACTGAGAGAGCTGCCCCTTTTCCCCTCTTTTATTGTTTTAACAAGTGGGATTTTTTTATCTCTACTTTTTTTAAACGACGGGTATTTCACATTCATTCCCTCAAAGAGAATATTCATTTTTTTTAAATGCTATATTTCCAGGGACTGTGATGCTCCTTTACGCATGGGTTATTAATTGAGTAGATGTGTTTTTGTACTTCTGGTAACGGACGGACCAGTGGGGCGTGGACTACATCCTGCTTCGCCCTTAACCCAATAGCGATAGCCTTAGGCCTAGGCTCCACGAGGACGAAAACGGGTTGAATCCGCATATTTCTCATGCGTATAGCCCTTTAAGCTCGACGACGCCGTAACAGAAACGTAGAAACAGACCCCGCAAACGACAACGGGTCCAAAGGTGGATAGATCTGGGAACGGAGCGCTCTGGGGGGTCCAACGGGGCCGTGGGGTCGCCTATACGGTCACCCGTTTCATAGCCCCGCCTCTCCCCGCCTCTCCCCACCTCTGCTGCTCACCCCCGCAAAAGTACACTGCACACTGAATTCAGATTATTTATCTTTATCTCGATATGAACATAAACGCGAGTGAAGTCTAATCTGACAGGACGGAGACACGCAGCTCCTCCGGCTGTGAAGCAGCGGGAGCAAAACACACACTTCAAGTCAAATCACCACCCTTAGCTATTTTAATTACCTCTCAAACTACCTAAACTAGTTATAAATATGTTTATTTTTACTGTCGGGTTTACTTACTGGATCAGCTGCTGCATGAGGAAGCATGAAGATTTAAACTTTAACACACATTGACCGGCGAAAAACTCTGCGCGGTTCCCTCCGCCCCCACCGCGGAGAATAAACAGAAGTGCAGCCATGACAACCATTCTTCTTCGCTGCTTTTGTGGAGGAAGTTGCTGCTTTTGTGGAGGAAGTTACAGCGCCACGTACAGGTTCGGCATATGTACTGCAGCTTTTCCAGCGGTTGGATGTAAACGGAGCCGTCTCGTGGAGCTTGACACAATCCGGTGTATATTGCGTGTGGGCGGAAGGTTTTTTGCGGTTGCATTTGCGTTACTCCGATGCGTTTTGCCGTATGGGTTCCCGTGGAGCTGGGGCCTTAGAGGGCGAAGCCTTATACGAAATAGAACTGGGGTTACGTACTGTAACCCAGCTTCTATGAGTATAGGCGCAGCCCTCTAAGGTTCGGGCCCCACTGGCTCCGCGAATAGCTGAAGAAAAGCTGTTTGTGTGGGAGCAGATTGACGGGCCTACTTCCTATTTATACGGAAGTGAGGCCGTAGGTGGGGCCCACGTCATAGGTGGGCGTGGATTAAGTCTGTCAGTGCTGCGCATCAGAGTTCCCGTTAGCCGGTAATTACCGGACAATGACCGGTAAAATATGCTGAAGTCCGGCAAATCTAAATCTCTCCGGTCAAAATGTCCGGTCAAAATAATTTTCCCTTAGCGCAATACCGCATCAGTTGCGCCACTTATGTGACAGACAAGAATAGTATGTGACAGACAAAAGAGTATGTGACAGACAAAAATTGTCAATTCTAATGTCTAACACTTAATGTGGAGAAAGAGATGTCCTGTATGGGTTGATTGTGCGTTGATCTGTTGGTAATGCCTCGGGGTTCCGGTGGGCATGTAAACAAATGCATAATGCTGCGCTATACTTTGTGGCCTCATCCGGTTGCATAGCGACGCTTATTGTTTAGGTGTCTTTTAACAAGCAGGTAGTCATATCATTAGCTAGAACTAGCTAGATCTGATCGATATGGACATAAATGCGAGTAAAGTCTAATCTGACAGGAGAGAGAGATCGGCTGCTGCTGACGAGTCGACACGCAGCTCTGCATGATCCCCTGCAGCGGCGAGCAGAGCAAAACACACTTCAGGTTAGAAAATCACACGTAGCTATTTTAATTACCTCTCAAACTACCTAAACTAGTTATAGATATGTTTAGTTTTACTGTCGGGTCACTCATTACTGGATCCGCGAGCTGCATGATACTGACGGGCTGTCAGGAGAAGGAGAGAGCGCTCCGTTTATTATTCCCGCGTTTTTGTAAATTACTGTACACTTTTGAATAATGTAGTTAATCTACTATAATTAGTTTGTTTAATGTCGAATCATATCAATTTGTTTTAAAGCTCAATAAATAACAAAGAAGACCTTTAACCGGCACTTATCTAATTTTGTCCGGAAGATTTCAACTTTAACGGACATGTTGACCGGCAAAAAAATATTCTAACGGGAACTCTGCTGCGCATGCACAGTGGGATTACCCAATAGCGATAGCCTTAGAGGGCTGCGCCTATACTCATAGAAGCTGGGTTACAGTACGTAACCCCAGTTTTTGGGTTTGTATGTGTTTTGGGGTTTTTATGTGTTTTTGACTTTGCATATCGTTTTTGTATTTGCAGCGTTTTTCTGTTGCGTTTGTTTTCGGAGTTTGTGTGTTGTATTTAGTTTGCATCATTTCTGTAAATGCAGCGTTTTTTTGTTGTATTTGTTTTCAGGATTTGTTTGTTTTTCATTTCATTATTTGCAGCTGTTTCCTGCTTATGTATGCGTTTTTGGCCGTTGTTCCGCATTTACACCTGCCGGCCACCGTACATTCAGCAGGTTCAACTCACCAGCCATTGTTTTAACTTATTAAATATCATAACATTACAAACACAACACTCTTTATTGTTGCTAATACTTGAATGTAAAAACATAACCTTAACTGGAGAATAAAGTATCAACTGTGTGGCGCCAGGAGATGCTTAATATTATATAAAATCTCCCCTGGAATATAAGAACTCTGGAGGAATTCCACACATTGCAGCAGCAGATATAAACCAAGAGACATAAAGAACATTTAGAGTAGTAATAATGTTATGAGATCATGTGTCATTTACTACACATTTTAGGGATATAACAGTCACCACAAGACAGTTTTCCATGTGGTCATGTTGCATGTATCATGTGACTGATGTCACAACACCTTACAAAGGCCTTTTTTGTTACTTATTTTCCAGGCTTTGAGACATGTTGTAATATTGATACAGTTTATTTATATTTGCTTATGTAAATCATCTCTCTAAGTTGATGTATTGTATATTGGGATAGTGTCAGAGAATGTACCATTTTCGGTAAATCTGCACTTAACAAAATGTGCAATGTGTTAGATATAACCATTTCTCTCTTGTGGCCTGCTCCTCTGCAGGAGGAACCTGACCAAGCTGTCTCTGATCTTCAGCCACATGCTGGCTGAAATAAAAGCCATCTTCCCTGGAGGACAGTTCCAGGGGGACACGTTCCGGATCACCAAAGCTGATGCTGCGGACTTCTGGAGGAATTTCTTTGGAGAAAGGTAAGCTTCAACTCATCCAGGCGTCTCCTTTGCAGCCTTTATTGGTAAATCAATATTTCATTTAGAAAGACAAGGAGAAGCTGTGAGTGGAGACGTTTCTCTTTTTTTATTTCCAGGATATTACCACTTCCATACCACTGGGACTTCAAACACAAGCTGTTTCTTAAGATAATGACACACACGCACACACAAACATAAGTACATAAGTGTGCATTGAAATGCCTTATTGTGCTTACAATAACTGAGTTATCTGTATTAGCTGCTATATAGTGCCCCTGACTGCTATCTGGGGTGTAGGGGTGTACTGTAGGTGAATGCACTATCCTATGTGATATAGAGCTTTCTTTATGGCCCTAGAGTTACAGTTCTAGTCCTAACCGACAGACCGTGGAGGCTTTTAAAAAAGGCCTCAAAAACCATTTGTTCAATAGAGCCTTTCCCTAGACCTTTTATCTTGTATTTATTTTGTATTGTTTGTTTTTTACTGCTTTTTATTCATTCTACCATGTTGTGTACTGTTTTTTATTATGTTCCATGCTAAATGCCTGTAGCACTTCAGGATCTGAACTCAGATATGAAGTGCGTTATAAATTAAACCCATTATTATTATTATTATTATTATTATTATTATTATTATTATAACCATTGCCTCTCCTCTCCTCCCCTGTCTCCTGTTGGCAAACAGACTTATAGCTTTAACATTCTTTCCTCACAGCCGTGTTTTGGTATGACCATGATAGTTGATTTGGTTTGCCCATAACATCAAAACAATATCTCCTTCAGATAATAACAGGACCAAGCAGACACACAGTGTCAGAGAGCAGTAAGGACATCCAGAGTCCATCTTATCAGGTGGAGAGCTCCCTGCAAATCCCTTCCTGCTAGGAGCAGAGCTGCTTTGACTGGTTATAGAATGTTGATTATTCTCTTAGGAATAGTTAAATATTGAGGAGTGAGCAAGAGAAACTCAGAGTAGGTTGGGCAGGAGCTTTATCACTTTGTTGCTGCAGCAAATGTCTTAGTCAATTATCTGGCTGTAACTTCCACTAATCTTCAGTGTGTGCCTGCCATCAGTTGGAGCTCTCCAGAGTTCTACAGATGTAGCAGCTCATTTAGGACTCCAGCTTACAGCTTCCTGCCTGCTACCTGCCTGCTACCTGCCTAAGACCAGCATCTGGGAATGTTAAGCCCTCCCACTATTTTCCAAGAGGGCGTTGCCAGATTTTCAATTTCAGGATTTAACCAGGAGATGGCGCTTCATTCACAAATACAGAAAGACAACTTTTCATGGACTTTCAGTTTTGTTTAGAAGAGCATTTGAACACATCAATATTTTAGATCAAATAAAGTATATCTAATCTTGTAATTCAATAATATATAGTCTTTATATATTAAATAATCATAATAATAATGTAAATGTTTACATTACACTTCTTTATTTGTCATGCGGTCTACCTACGCTGTAAAAGGTATTATCTCTTCGATTTACACACGGCATCTATTGCACTTCTGTCCATCCTGGGAGAGGGATCCCTCCTCTGTTGCTCTCCCCGAGGTTCATACTGTATGATTTATTATTATTATTAATATGAAGATATTATTAAGATAAGATAAGATAAGATGTTACTTTATTGATTGAACATTTTAGTTTAGAATGTGCTATCCCACGGTAATTCAGAAGGCTCACAGGTCACATTCCGACCATTATTTAAAACAATAGGTGCTTTCATAATAATGATGAGAAACTATGAAATAAGAAATGAATCAAATTAAAATGTAATTATCATATCATATATTATATAGTGTATTGTATTATTAAGTAATATCATACATTAACCCCATTATAGCACAATTGACAGACAGTGTTATTTGTACGTCAATAGTCATATATCATATATTGTCATAACCTTTTTGTGTGAAATAATTAATATTATTATTATTTCTGCCCACTGTTTGGCGAGCTGCATGAGAAACTGACGGGCTGTCAGGAGAGAGAGAGAGGGAGAGAGGAAAAGAGAGGATCCGTTTCTCCCGTGTTATTATCCAAAGTTAATGTAAACTTTTGAATAATGTACTTATTAGTGCGAATGCTGTGCCACAGCATTCCACTATAGTACTTCAAATCTTTATTCTTTCCGCTTATTATTACAGCCAATACTTTGGCTCTCCATAACTTCAGCTTATTTTCAGCTACAGAAACCATTCAAATATTAAACTATTCAGCCTGTTCAGGAATCGATGTGAAACCTTCACATTTTTAAAAATATTTTATACTTCTTGAAATATTCAGCTTTTTAAACTCTTTTTTAAACATGGAAGTCAATGGGAGATGCCTTCAAATCCTCTTTTCCTACACTTTGCGCCAAATGCTACTCCTTCCACATACTTTCAGCTAGACACTTCATTACAACTTTCAAATGATCACAAGACCTTCAGCTATTCAAACTTGATTTTTATTTTTGATATCTTTTACACTTTTTGAGATATTTAACTTAGTTTGGAGCTTGGTAGAGAGGCCTTTTTCAGATTTTAACATTAGTGTGGATGGAGCAGCTCGTTAAGTCTAGAGTGCTTTGATCTCAAAACAGAGTGGAAGAGTGCTTGAAAGTCTCCCAAAAAAACGTTTTAAACCTGCCATAATTCCCAAACCCCACACTCCTCAGACATCATTTTTCATGAAAAACGTAGGAAAACCTCTCCTAGGTTGGAAAATAAAAACAAATTAAGAAAAAATATTAAACAAAATGCCTCTTGAGGGCATGAAGTGACAAAAACGTTCAACATGCCTCCATTAAACCCCATTGTAATTTCAGTCTGATATTTCCTCACAGCAGCAGCCGCACACCTTTAGTTAAACTGCCAAAAAGGCCACATTATTATCCCGAAAGTACACAAAAATTACACTTCAGATACTCAACATCCTTGACATGCTTCACGTTTTGAAATTTCACAGATATCTGTTACGGTTCTTCGACAAAACGTTCACAAGTAAGAGGTTTATCTCTCATTCAGAACAATGGAAACCTTTGATCTCTAGGCAGCTCGTTAGCTCAACTATAAACACCTGTGTAATGGAACACGATGATGTCATCACTCCAACTGACATGCTCAGTCAGTTCTAACTGTGCATTAGTGCGAATGCTGTTTACACACAGTCTGTCTCTCTCTCTCTCTCTCTCTCACTCTCGTTTTTGAACAGGTGGCAAAATTGTCAGATATACTCCTCAATGCATTCTTATGGGACTCAGTGCTGCAGTTGGTTGTCTTTGATCTCTGGACACACACACAGGTGTTATGATTGGGTGTTATGAGTAGGTGCTCAGGAACAGAAACAACACTGACAGACTGGACTTTAACAGACTGTCTCAGCCTATTATTTTCTGTCTGATGGAGACTTCATACTACTTACAGCTGATATTTAACTCCTTCAGCCTAATTTCAGCTGCAGAAACAACTATTAACTTATTCAGCTATTTCAGGACATTGAGGCTATCAATGTTGTTGTTTATACCTTTTTTAACCTGTTACGCACGGCCCCCCCCGGTACCGGGCGGATAAACGCGTCATTTGCAGGAAACAACGTCTCAGGAATCTTAATATTTAATAAAACTATGAATGTTTTATATCCATGTAACGGGAAGAAACTCAGCTAACTGATCTTTTTAATTTTTTTTCTCCAAAAAAACCCCACAATGCTAGCACTCAGCCTCTGAATTAGCCACGAGCGAAAAAATGTAACCTAAAACGGCACTTAAACTCACTCTAACTCCCTTATTACTTATCCTAGATGCACAGCCAACCACTCGTTTTTGGTGTCCTGGAGACACTGAATCGTTTGGTGCCCTCCTCAACACTCAGTGATAAACATTTGCGACGCTATAAACGAAAGCGTACATCATAACATGTGGAGCTAAGTAGCTAGAAACGCTAACATGGCTTACCTTGGTCAAAACTGGTCTTCAATGGCATTAAAACGATAAAAAAACGATGCTGCAGTTAATCCATAGGTTCATCCAATGTATCTGTGCCCTCTTTGAAATTATTTCTGATAATCCATAAGCAATAAAACTGCTTTTTAGTTTCCAAATCCCAGAGGAAGAGATCGTCCACTCTGCCCTGCATTTCACATGCGCGCAGCCCCCACCTTTTCTCTTTACAATGAGTGTGTATGTGGGCCTCCCCCTTCCATTCTATTGGCTCTAACGGTCAGAAAGAGGTGTTAACCATCAAAATCGAGCAAGGGGGGCCAGAGATATGAAAAAAAAAACATTTTCACCCAAATCACCTCAGAGGTGGGGTGGTTTTGGCTAAACCTCTCTAAAAAGGTCAAATGTCACTTGTTTTGCATCAATCTTGATACAGGGTACTTATTATATGTTGTACTTTGGATTCCTAAAGCTTTTAGTCTACTAACCCATCATGCAAGGGTAGTTTTCACTATCTGTAAAAAATAATTTTTGGACGGACACTATAATTTACAGTTTTTTACTATGTAAAATCTGAATTTTCTTTAAAATAAAAAACATTTATATTGATTCTGACACTTCTACATCCATCTCACAGATGTAACCTTGCTTTGATAAAATAAATTATTCATATAACCCTTTTAGAAGTTAGGTTGTAGTCATTTGTTTTGGGCATGTCATTTTCAAGCCTGAAACATGAAAAACAGGCTTGGTGCTTAACAGGTTAAACCTTTTCTTTTAAATATTAAGCTTCTTCACTATTTTTCCTACTCTGCAATGCATTTGAGCTGTAACAATTTTGATTCAAATCATTTCACTTTTCTGCATTTCTCCGCTAAGTTCAGCAACACACATACTTGGTTTTTGTAGCTACAAGCAGCATCTAATCAGATCAGACAGTAGGGCTGTGCAATTAATCGTATTTTAATCGCAATTACGATTTTGGCCTGCCACAATTACGAAAACAACATAATCGAAAAAAAACGATTATTTTGCTTTGCTAGGTTGTGACAGTGCACTGCAACATATTTGATC